TATAGTAAGATGGAACTTCAATATAAAGCAATGTTTTTCCGAAGTCGTCACGGGAGAAAAGTTCAAAAAAAGCCATGACTGGTGTTTCTGATATTTTCAAGTCTTGCGCCAGCATTTTGATCAGTGAAATAGACGCGTTGGCCATTTTCGAGGTATACTGAGAGTTGAAAAATTGCTGGTGACCGTTCGTGAATCGTAAAACCAAATATCCGCCATGCAGCTTCTGATGAACTACTATATCTGCCATTTTGGAATGCTTTAATTTCATCACGCGATTCTACTGATAATGCAGCCTGATCAGATCATTTATTAATATAACTACAAATATATTGAATGGCTTTTACTGAATGACAAAGTTCTATGTTGATGTGACAGTCAAATGCACGTAATAATAAAGGGCACAATCCACCGATTATCGATTGTGACCATGCGATTACCGGATTTTCTAAGCTGAAAAGTTTGCCCACCATCATCAGATGATCGACGACGATATTTTGGATAACCATCCTGCCCGGATTGTGTTGCAATAGTAAACAGTTTCGGAAAACCTTTTGAATATTTTTCGTTTTGCATACACGGTGAATTCTTGTTAAATGGACCACATGGGCCATGAATAATGTTTTTACTGATGATATTAAATAGGGAAGAATCTTCTCGTTGATTCGACAACTCAGCACTAACTGAGCTCTTCAATTTAAAAAAAAAAATCATAACGATTGGTTCAGTAGTTTTCGAGAACATAGGTCTCAAAGGTTTTCAAAAAATATCAAATATTGACAATACATCTATGCACAAGTGCTGGGGGGTCAGGGAGGATCAAATTATAGTGATTTTGGAAACCCAGAATGCTTGCCATGTTGCCAAGTCTACGTAACAGGCCATTATTTATAATAATTGATAACTCCTTTGTTTATTGAGTTAGAGAATCGATCAAATGCTATAAACCTTCTCCGCAATGAGCTCTTCAATTAAAAAAAAAAAAATCATAACGATCGGTTCAGTAGTTTCTGAGAACATAAGCCTCAAAGGTTTTCATTTTCACATTTATTAAATAGAGAATATTGGATATTTTAAATTAGATCTTATTATTATTATTATTATTATTATTATTATTATATACATAATAATAATAATAATAAGATTTAATTTAAAATATCCAATATATATACAAATCCAACCATTATTCTTCATCGTTTTTTGAATGTTCAATGAAATTCAACATTGTCTTCAAATTGGTACTTGCAATCAACATCAATACATCCGTTCTAGTGATTTACAAGCGTTTTGAATGGCATTTTATTCTCTATAATGTGCTATTAATATTATAGTATCCTATTTGAGGCGCTAAACAATGAAGAAGTTGCTTTATATTTAAATGTTACCTTTGTATTTTATCAAACAGGATTTTTTAAATTTACAATTAATACCTATTTTATAAAGTAATGCATAATTAAATACATAAATTAATGAGTAAATTAATAATAAAATGTAAATGTAATTTAGTAACGAAGTGATTTTTCGCTGTCATTCAGTACTACAGTCACGCTGCGTCTCACCTACAAATTAACTCCAATGGTCATAGGTATTGAGATTTAAACAGAAAAACAATCATCTTATTAAAATTTATTAGTTTTTAATGATGTAGGTATAAATTAAATATTTAATTATTCTTTTTTTATAAATTGTAATGTTTAAAATTAATTCAAATATGTATAAAAAATTATATAATAAATGAATAGTATACATTATTTACGTTATTAAAAATTATTTCTAAACATTTAACATTTCTTGGTCAATTATTCACATTTTAAGGTTAATTTTTACTTTAAAAAAGTAATATTTATATAATACAATCATTATACATTTAATAATACTTTAAAACTGTTATTTAAAATATGATATCGATGTTTAAAGTTTTAATTAATGTAAAATAATAATACTACAATGTTTGTGTTTAGACAAACAAATAAATTAAGACCATTTTTCATATTGTCTATACTTGGTTTTACCATAAATATGTTTTTGTATCATATATTTTTATGTTTAAAATAAAGTTATTTTTATTTACATTTTTTTTTTTCATTTACTTATTAAAACCAAATAGATAATTAAATTATCTTAAAATATTAATGATAATAGGATTATTTATTAATTTTATTTTATAAATATAAATTTAAAAATGTTTAAGTTTTGTAAACAAATTAATAATGTACATTTTTTTTAATGTTGTAAATTATTTTATTTTGGTAGTAACTAATAGAGGTGCACATGGTTTGCGCACATTTACTAAAATTACAACTCGTTTGCGCACGTTAGCCTATATGATATTTATAAATGTATCACTAATAAAAACAAATAAGAATTATTACAAACGGGCCTGGGCGGATTGGACTTAAAAAAAAATTAAGGATCGGGCCTTGGGAAGAGAATTTTTTAAGTTAAACTTTCAGGCCGAAAAAAACTACTCATGCAGATCTCTAGTAACTAACATATAAACTGACCACTTAACGTAACTGATTGATATAAATTATATTATTGAATAAATATACTGCAGAAACGTAAAATAATGTGAAATATTATTTAATTTGTTCGTACTTAAGAATAACAAATCAATATTATTTTGATGGTAATATTTATGTATGCAATTTTTTTAAACAATTTATCCACGTTTTAAAACTGTACATACATTTTAGTAGCAAATATCCGAACGTATATCGTAAAAATAGTTCTTCGAGACTCACTCTATGGTCCTAGGCCATACTGTTTTTCACACTAAATTTCATTATTGTATTTGGTTCATTACACTTGGATAAAAAAAAAAAATACTCTAACCAGTAAATAACAGCTATTTGTGATTGATTATCATAATTGCATTAAAACCTGAATACGGCTGAATTGGCAAATTATGACGAATCGATTTGATCTAGCTAACTTAATATTACGATTTCGTAATGTCAGCTATGCCATTACGTTATTTTTATTTCGATGTATGTATGTGGATGTATATTATATCTTAATATGTGTACATGTGTAGGTAACGTCGAGCTGAATGCATATATGTATATATATATATATCGATTTTTTTTTAATGTTTCTTGGATTATAACCCCAAGGACTTGCTGCCTATCGAATCGATTGCTTGGCCCATAAATAATTTAATACACCCCTTAAAATAAACCACACACAATTATTTTATCAAGGATTCTTTTTAATTTTTTTTTATTCACTATTTTTCTCTCGGGTTATTGAGTTAACGGAATTTTATGAGAAATATATGTATAACTCATCCTTTACTGGATTCGCTGGAACTCGGACAACGCGATGACTGCAACACACACACATATATATATTATATTAATTTAGCTCTTGGGAATAGTGAGTGATATATTAACTATAAATAAATATTTGCTTTGCATTCTATACACCTGTCGGTGGAGAGTAATAATTTATGATTTTGCTCGTTATAAATTCACACTAATATAAGATCCGTCAACGTTGCGCAGACTATTGCTATTAATCTATAAATCTATTAATTATAATACGAGTGGAATCAAAATGTTGGTATAGGTACCACCTTAAAATGATTGGCGATATACCGCATTGTACATTTCCATAACACTATTCACAAGCGAGATCCGCCCAATTGCCGTTATCAACACAACCATGGGATATTATATCTACATATTTGGTCATAATCGTAACTCAATCGTTTTGGAAGGCTTCACCAAAAACCCTTTTATACCTGATCATCTTTATTCTTTTAAAAACAAATGATAGCAATTGGTTATAATATTCTATCATTTAATTAACAATGTTTCACTGGCTCACAGGCTGAAAATATGTACTCGTATACATTGCTCTTTTATTTTATAAATATTTCATGGTTTGTACATACAATTTAATAAAATTTGTCCAAATTTCTTTTAATTTTTCATTAATATACATGTACAATTTTTTCATAATATCATAATGTGATTTATATCTCGAACGAACTATTTTGACTAATAAAAAGGTAATTTTTACTTTAAACATATTCCTAGCTCAGCTCAGAAGTAGAAAAAGTTTCTAGTTTTTTAATGAAATATAAAACTAAAATATGTATTTAATATAGGGCTTGAGCTTGTAATCATTTTAATCTAAGAAAAACTAGAAAAATTTGTTAAACATTTGAACGATTGAGATAGTTTGATTGTCAAATTATTTTTAGAGATCTAATATTTTATCAAAGATGTATAGAATTTCGAGTTACCTATCGAAACTAAATTAAGGATGATTATTGACCACGTTAATTTAAAAATCCATAAGCTACTTAGTTTATAAAAAAGCATAATTAAGTATTTATCAATTTAATTTTACATGATATTAAAAATTCAAATACACTCACAAGTTTATCCATGAATAAAAGTTGAGTGCAAAATACCTATGGTATTAAAATGAAATACCGTTTGTAGCTGAAAGATGTTGCAAAACATATGTTTTAATTGCGAATTGAACTAATTATAAGGTCAGTTGAACTTATTTTCAATGGATATTAAAATTGTTTATATTATGTATAATAGTTAAATTTAGTTTAGCTTAGATTACATTTTATCTATTAAAAATGTTAAAATGTAATCTAAAAAATATTTTTAAATTAATTTAATAAACACATTTAAAAGAAGAATATTTGTTAATTTAATTTAAAAATATTTTTTTGACTTATATCTTTAAAAATCATAAGCTGATGGATCTTGTTAATCGATCCTTAAGATCTGATTTCATCACGTCTATTACTTGTAGTTTCCCCTCCATTAGTTCCAGTTTAAACTTCCAGTCACGGATCGAACATTTGGTGATTGTTGAGTGTACCACAATAAAATCACAGACTCATTCATTGCGGTTGTCGGTAGTAACATAGCCATTCACATATAGATATACGAAAACATAATAATATACATAAGTTAGTTCAATATAGTAATCGAGTTATTCATTATGTGTGTTTTTTTTATTTTTGTTTTTAGTGATTAACATAAGTACATACTCCGGATCAGCTGATTGGAGCCATCATGATTGTCAACATTCACATTGGTCCGGTTGTACTTCTTTTAATTAACATTATCCATAATGGTAAGTTTATTTATTTTGTCAATTTATACTTTATTGTATAATATCTAAGATTTTATGAGATTTTATGATTGTAATTTAAAAAATTTTATTTTTTTTATTTTTTTAATTTTTCTTTGTTCGCACATTACAACAAAATTATATTTTAAAAGTGTAATATTGTATATTATACATATATCATATACTTAATTGTATAAAAGTCTATTATTGACTAAATTAAATATGTTTCAGTGATAACTTAGCCAAGAAGTTTGATCGTTTTCATATGTAAAATTATTTAATTTCTTGATTAGAAAATTTGTAGTACAAATTTATTTTAATAATGATTTTGTTTATACTATTAGACATAAGTTCTAACGAAAATATTTTGAATGTATAATTTATTTATGGTATATATTTATTATACAGTATGAATATAAACATGTTTTAGCTCGCTAAATAATTAAGCAAATTACTCGTATTATAATGTTTGTTTATTAATATTTAATAGAAAAAAAACTTTATCAATATTTAACTAGTTAATATTTCCTTTGTCACTTTATAGTTTATATTTTGCTGAGAGTTTAATTTCTTTGAAAATGTAATGAAATATTCATAGTTTAGTTATTTGATTTATTATGTGATGCCAACGTTAATGCTCTGTGATTATAAATATTAACTATATTATAATATATTATAATGAATAGGAGTTTAAATTATTTTATCTCAAAAGCAAAAGCAATATGTATAATTCAATTTAAATTTCAATCAAAATTTGTAGCCTTCAAATATCGTCGAATATTGTTGTGAATGCTTTTGTTTATGATATTAATTTGATTTTTATGAAGCTATTAAAAAAATGTAATTCTATAGTTTTCCATAAAATTGGTTTTTTATAGTATTTTGGAGGAAAACTCATTTTCTTTTACAAATTAGAATAATATTTAACTACGATGCTAATTAATATTGACTCCGTATTTTTTTTTTAAATATATTATTTGTTATTACCTTCAAATCTTGCTACATTGATATTCATTGATATTATACTTAAAAACATAAGATTCATAATTATTACTAAATGGCTGAAATACTGAATGTGACGTTTATTTATTCTTAACATTTCCGATTTAATAAGATACAAATGTTCACGTATTTTAATTTGAAATATTGAATGATTAAATTACATGTTAGTGCTAAAGAAATTTATGTTTTTTTAATGGAATTACGTAGTTTGATTTAATACTCCTAACAGCTGAGTTATTTAGAACGCATTTATAAATATTTTATGTACACTGAAAATCAATAAGATTGTTATTAAAATATTTTGTTTCCTTTTTTGCAAAAAAGATAAGATGAGGAATACATATAATAATTTTCTGAGTTAGCTGTTGTTCATTTGATATTTTTTACGTTTCTCGTTTTAATTCACATTGACCGTTGGCTGCATTTGTCGGCTTCATTTTTTCGGATTTAAATCAATAACGAATTGGAAGTCCAAGTCCGGTGGAACAATAGTCGTCAGAACGGTGATCCACTTAGTCTTATGTCGTGCTTGTATAGTTGGTAAAATGGATTTTAATTTTAATGTTTAACGGCCGTTAAGAGAGATAGGGTTGAAATGTATGGAGTGTTAACGTAGTCAACTGGCCCTCTTCGTGGGCTCTGGGAGTGGATCCAAAAACGGCGAACAATTAATACTTGCCATTCGTTTTAAAAGGGCGGGCGCCGGCATGAGATTTTCGCTTTTTTCTCTTGAATTTGGCGTAAAATGTCTGTACAGAATACAGTACCCGTACCGCTATCCTGGGGATATCCCGTAGCCAGATTAATGCGAAATTAATGTCTTGTATGGTAATTAGATGGGACGCACTAATGGCAAATCAAACATCTACTGTTTGTATTTATTCATATTTACTATTGCATGTAATAATAATATATTCGTTGATGATAGTGGTCCACACATCATTAGCGTTTGGCATATAATTTTTTTTCTACACTCAGTTTTTACTTTTCTTGTCAGTCTTCATACATCATTTTAATTCAGTCTCGGTGACTATAAATGTAGTTAATGGTTATTGCTGTATTTTACATTTTTTTTTGCGTCTTTAACCGTACCAGAAATTAACTCTAATGGAAGCGTGATTCTGTTACAAATTAGCACATACATTAGTAATTACACAGATATTAATTTGCTTTGACTCAATGTTTATATTCTAAGTAGATAATTAAAAAAGATTGAAAGATAACATATAACATATTTGATATAAACTATAAAAAAATAGTTTATAGTACAAATTATTTAAACGTATGTGGTTGAATGCGTTTCTGTTGCTAATAGTTTCAATAAGTACTTACGTAGGTTTAAACTATAAAATCAAATCTATTTACTAATCAACTTAATTCTGTCATAATGCATGACTGTATAACATTGATTATAATAGTATTCGTATTAAATTTATGTATATTTTTTTAAATATGCAAATTTTTATTTAGAAATTTAAACAAAAATATATAAATATATATAATTTATTATAAATTTTTTTAATTTTATATAGAGATAATTCATTAATGAATTTGAAACTTATATTCCTTCGAATACTTCACAATTATTTATCTTGTCATAAAAAACTTAATAAATAAATTAAGTACTTATCAATTATTTTCGTGTATTTGTCTTAATTATACTGATTCTTTATGAAGATTTAGAAACCATACTTGATATTAAGCCATGTATAATAATGTGCATTAAAATAATTTATTATAGTTTTATTTATTTAGTGTATATATTTTTGTATACTAAATTATTTAGGTTTCATATTGATAAGACATATCATTAATTAATTAATTATAGTTTTATTAAATTAACCTGTACAAATTGTAATAGTACAATTAATTTGCCTTTTTTTTGATTTTTAACTTTTTTGAAAGTTCGTAACTTTTTTTTTTAATGTGTATGTTACTGTTTAACTCCTTGTTTAAATAAATTACTTTATAATTCTATAACCTAAACTTGTAGACTTTTAAGTAATTTAAAATCAATTAAATTAGATGAATTTTATTAATTGAAAAATGAAAATAAAGAAAAATTGTCTAGTGTCCTCGAAATACTCATATTATTTTCATCAGTTTTATTGTAAACTATGTATGATTCACCGTGTAAAAATTTAATATTTGTTGAAATATTAAATAGTTACTTAAAAATTTGCATTGTTTTTATACAATATAATGACAGGAAGAATATATTTAAATAATATCCATCCAAAGACTAACTTTTTAGCACAGTCATAATTATTCTGCAAATTAAATGTATTGTTAAAAAATAAAAAATAAAACATTCAGTTTTCTAGGAAGTAGTTTTTAACAAATTTAGAAAAATGTATAGATGATTTTAAAATATAATTGTATCATTTTAAATCTTTATTTAATTATGAAGTTAAAATTTATCAAATTATTACTAATTAAACGTACTTATGGAAATGTAGAATTTAGTTTATAACTAATTTAATACAGACATTTAGTTTGTATTCAAGTTGATTTATAATCCGAATTATAATGGTGTTCATCTTACCAATACAGTCAATATAACTATTGATTGAAATAATTTTAAATCTGTAATAATAGTGAATATATCTTTGAATTATAATTCTAATAAATATTTATGGGAACTACTTTTATTTTTTTATATTGATTAATTAATTTGTTTAAATAAATACTTTTAGAACATTCAATGTATAGCGCATTAATAATAATTAAATATAAAATTATTAGGTACAAGTAGAAACTGTTACAACTTACAAAGTATAACTTATTAAAAATGTAACCACCAAGATTATTCAAGATTATTTATGGTTATTTAATGAAATTGGCTTCTTGTAATTCATTATATAATTGTAATAAAATAACATTTTTGTATTATCTATCAAATGTTTAGATATATAGAATACTCACACAATATGCATACAAATATAATAAATTGAAAAACTGTTCTGATTTCAGAAAAAAAATATGTACAAAAATCATAAATTAACAGCTTGCTTAGAGTCTAAAATATATACATTCTTTACAATTTCGAAGTGTCTAATGGCGTGCATCTCTTCTTTTAGTCAATTTTACATCTGTGTTTGTTTCTTTTCTCAGTTTTACATGGTGTATTTTTTAAATAAATATTTATTTTCCATTTTGTTTTTATAATTTTGCCAATGACATTTTAAAAATGTAATATTAGGTCGTATACTTTTGAAGGCCGTGTGTTATATGACTGTGGCACAGTTTCGTTCCGGCTATTGAACACAGTAGCCCCTAAATGGTACAACGTCCTCTTGTTAGTTGACACGGTTTACAAGCCATGTTTTTTTCGTACATTTCTACTATATTAGATAAGCAAGATTAGTGAGAATCGATGAACCATTACTGTTTTGATGGCCAATATATGTGGTTTTATGTTTATGGCAGTTTGTAAAGATAGTATGAAAGCAGTTTGACATTTTCACTATTATTACCGGTTGTGGTTTTTGTTTTGTTTGTCAGTGAGGTACTGTAAAGGTCTTAATATTTTCCCTGTATATGTGATAAAATAATCTTACTCAATGTTTATTATTTTAATTGCTTGATGAGTATTTCACATTAGTTTTATAAACGTAAATAAAAAATAATAGGTGTTTGTCGAACAATGTTTAATTAATGGATAACCAATAAAATAAATATTTTTTTTTTACTATTTCGAAGTAATTCTTCTTCAGCCAATTTTATAAAAATAATTATTTACCATACAATTTATATTTTACTTATATTTTATAGAACAGAATATATATCTCATAATTTATAAATTAATTACTCTGCACTTGAATACAATAAAATAATACATTTCTCAAATAATTTTATACATCAGTTGACTTTGGTAGTTATAAATTTTCTATTAAATTTTTACTCTTGTCTAAAATTATAAATAATTTCTCTTAGCCAGATCAAAATTAATACTTTATATGAATGAAATTTATTATATGCATACAATGAGTGTATTCCATACTTATTTTTCAAAGATATTTTATACTTTGTATGTGGTTTTTTTTCAATTTATTTTTTTGAGAACGTTGTTAAAAAGTGTTTGAAACTGTGGAGTACCAGTCACTTAATAAAGAGTATTTGGTTTTTATAATAACGTAAAAATGTTTTTGTACCAAGTATAATAAATTCACTATCCCAATACTTTTTGGAACAATAATTTCTGAAGTATACCTCTAGTGATTTACAAGTGGAAGGAATTTCTCTTCTTTTACTATAGAAATTATTTTTGAAATAACTTTGTTTCAACTTTCAAGTATCTACTGTTTCATATGTTTTTTTTTTTTTTTTTTTTTTTAAAAAATTTGCGAGGTGTTTTTAATAATAGTATATTCTATCTTATGGTTGCAAATAAAGGTCATTGTAAATATGTAATGCACATTTTCGTCGTGTTTCAATCTCAAATTAATATTTAAAGAAAAAAAAAAGGATTTTACTTTTTTTTAATTGTAACGTGTTATAATACTTCAACTTTTATATTTAATATTATATTGACATTTTAAAACTTAGTATTTCAATTTTCTCATTAAGTATAATAGTAAATAAGAACAATTTTTTTTTTTTGTATATTTTTCTAGTTTATTTGTGTACATCGACACCTGCGAATGACACTGCATACTCGAATACTTGGTCATTGTATGTTTTACAATGTTATTTATTGATATAAAAGATACAGTAGTGTGGCCAGAACATAAAGATTTACGAGTGAATGTGACCCAGGTGTCTTTTGTATGTTACTGTTCTCAGTCCTGTCAGCTAACATTTTATAGAGTAAACACTACCGCATTTTGTTTTAAATTTGTTAAGAAAATGTTTTTACTAACTCATTTTCCTATAAAATTACTATTTAAGTAAAGTAATACCAACCATCGATCAACACAAATTTTACCGTGATTATAGAATTAATATCATATACAATATAATTTATTATGAAAATTGTTTATTATTAGGGAACGGATTTACATTTAAATGCATATTTTTATTAAAACGAGATATTGAAGATTAGATAAGAAATGTTTATGATTTAAATCATTCCTATTATTTTTTTTTCATATTTTTACATATTTTGGTATAATTTCATATTTTTACATATTTCACTAATTTATAAATATTTTTAAACATATTTTTATCATTTCATCATTCATACATCTTCTTCGTACGAAAATACAAGAAATTATTTCAAAATTAGATCCTGAAACTTCTATTGCTATTGGAAAAGCTCAAAATATTATGCAAAATGAAACATTGAAAATTTTAATTTAATTTTAATTAAAAATAATTTAACAAAATTATTAATAAAAAATATGTCCCCAAATGATAGTATGCAAATTGTTGAATCAGCGATTAAAATTCGTAAGCGGACCAATAGATGCTATAAAAAAAGAAAATTCATGCTGTTGCAGAAAAAAATTCCAGGCTATATTGATTTTAAAACAATCAATGACATATAATGAGTGGCAGACGCCCTTCTAAAAATTTGGAATTATCGCCTTCTGATAGTATGCGCTTGAAATATGCTTTTAATACATCGGTTGATGTGAAACGATAATTTAGCCGTTTTAAAAATATTTTGATACCTAATAGGCGACATTTAACATTTGATAATTTAAAAGATATTGTAATAATACAATGTAATAAATCATTTTGATAATTTAATAATAATAGGTAATTATTTTTTTCCCATATATTTGGATGTTTTTAGCTCATATTTTATAAATTATACTTACATATATCTGTACATATTTTTGTATTTTTATTACATATAAATCCGTTCCCTATTTATTATTATTATTTTTGCTATAGATTTCGTTAACACATCATAAATAATATTTCAAAAATCAGGTAGATTAGTCTGAAAACAATAAAACCAAATATTATCTCAATTAGATACTTTGTGAATATGTTCATTTTAAGTTAACAACATATTCATAATCGGTTGGCTAAAATGAAAAATTTCATTTTTCGGAATTATAAAGCACCTAAATTTAGTTATTATTTACTTTATTATACCATGCATATTTAAATACTTTATTTAGTATATACTATGAATTAACTTTCAATTTTTTATCAATATTCTATTGTGTTGGATAGATTATTAGTAACTAGTATTGGTTGAATGATTTTGTTTTCAATAGACTTGATCATTGTTTAGTATAAATGGCCTTTAAGATACCTATCTTTCTGATAAACGGCAGATATGTATATTAGTTAATCCTTACATTAATCCTTACATGGTTAACTCATATGTAATGATTCCTCTTTTGTCTTCTTTTTACCTAATCAATGCGATTTGGGGCGATTAATATTTTAACAAGGACATGGCTTGAAGGACGTCATGTGCTGTCAGTTGTCATGTACGAGGCACCTTTTGAACTTTGACCTAATTGTACACAATATTGATGAAATTATATACCACACAATGATAAACACAATATAATAGTAGCAGCATGAACTAAAGATCAATTTTAACGTCTTAATGCCCTATATTTTGAAATTTAAGTTAAATTCATTTTTGTTTTTAGTGCGATTGTTGGACACAGCTGAACTACCAATTATGCAGGAACCCACTGCGAAACCGATTCACTCTAAAGAGGGAGATTCGGCTTTGATGACTTGTGTTGTAAGAAATTTAGGAGATCACACTGTTCTGTGGAAAACTGAAAACAAAGATAGACATAGTTGGAAGGTGTTAACTGCAGCAGAATCTAGAATAACTGCTGACAGAAGATTCGAGGTTTTACACGACAAAGGTAAGAATATTAAATATTTGTAAAGTAGATAATTTATACCTAGTAATTTAAGTAGATATTTTTAAACGATAAAAAGTAGATGTACATTATTCTTTTGTCACAGTTTATTCGAAACCTTTTTGGGCAATATATTAAATTTACAATTCACTTTACACTAAACATACCAAAAAGCTTATTTATGAATCCTTCTGTTACTATTGACAAAATAAATTTGCACAAACCTACGTATACTGAATAGTAATACAATATACATTTAAACAGTTTGTGTGTATACAGAGAGTTGTATCGATTAAAACATACTTGAAAGGCTCGTGATGGCAATTGCACATTCTCAAGAGATAGATGAATTCATTTATTTATTCAAAAAAGTTTTGTGGGTTAGAGAAAATAAGAATGAAAATGTACATATCTTTAAAGCATAGTTAAAAATCACCTTAACGGAATCGATTAGACATCTTTCCCTAAGTAGTTATTTAACCCTGTTTTGATCGGAAATTTCCATCCAGAACCTTAGTATTAACAGTAGAATAAAAGATCCAAAAACAGAGAAAACAAAGTTCACCCACAGAATATTCTTACAAAAAACTTTTTTTATAACCCTAAAAACTTTATACTGTCTGTGAAGATTTTTGATCGCATCATGACTCAAGTTTTCCACCAACAAATAAACCTGTAATATAATAAGTATGCCAGTTGGCAGTTTGGCAAAGTTTTAGTAATTTACTTTCGCAATTCATGTTTGGAATCTTAAATAATTATCGAATTACCCACTGGAAATCAAGAAACATACTAATGCATATGAATTGCTTACCTATAAATCCTTCTACTTTAGTATGTAAATTATCTAATCCATAAAAAAACTTATGCTAAATATCAGGTCAAATAGTAATACTATTAAATTTATTTTAGAAGTGATCCTATTACACTTTACAATATAAAGTCCTAAATTTATCTTAAACATAAATATTATAGTTAATATAGTTGGTTTTAATGATTTTTAAAGTTTCTATGGATTAAAAAAACTACGGTTTATGAATATAATTCTTTTAAAAATAAATTTAGAAATTTAGATATGTTGTAAATAGTTAATTTTTCAAATTATAAATAAGGAATGGTTTAATATAAAATTAAAAATATTTAAATATATATTTGTTTATTACTTAATATTTATTTATAATTTTTAAGTATTTCAATTAAAAATAAAATATTATAGAATATAAAAAATTCATAATTTATAATAAAAATTAAAAACATTTATTCTAAATTACCTAAATTGTCTTCTAGCGAGAAACTGTTAAGTAAAATATCAAATTTTAACTTTTAAAATTTAAAACGACGACGTTTTAATTTTAGTCTTGATTTACATTGACTGAATTACCGTTCACATAAATGGAGGTTAAAAGTGCTCATTTCATACATGTTAATTTATTTGGATTGTATTCGATTTCTGAATTGTTTTTTAGAGTTTTGTTTAGTAGTATATCCCTAATATATATGACAGCATTTAATCCTGTGTTTTTCCCAGTAGGTTTTGTAACTTTGAATTGGTTAAAACTCCAATTTCTCCAAGAATACGTTCCAATTGTTTTTTGGCAATTAGATTATTTAGACCCGTAGATTATTTCTAAACTTTCCGTTAATGGTATTTTAGAAACTTCTAATATAGAAATAGTATCAACTAAATATCCAAAATTAGCAAATATAAATGATAAATTACTATGCAAATTTTTATTTTTCCATGAGCTCAACAGTTTTTTTTTTATTGCAGTAGAAACATTTAAATCTAAATTTGATATATTAAATTTATATTAAATAAAAACGGAAACTTCATAATAATACCAAAAATACAGAATATTTATACTTATTTGTATAACATTTAAAATAAATTAGCATCAACTTATTCGAAATAAAATGAAATGTATACATATGTAGAAGATTTTTCGATGTTAAAATTACATAAAAATATTTATTCTAATTAAAATCCGTTCCCTAATTATAAATAATAATTTATCATAGTTATCTGCCACAGATATCTTAAATAACTGCTGTTAAGATCCTTAACTGTACTATAGAAATACAGTACTTAACCTTAATAAGCGGTAACCTCGGATACTAACAACTTATACTTTAGAACTATATATACAATTATTTAAATATCTTTATTTAAATAAATTATATTATATCCATGGTGCACAGAAGTTTGTACACTAAAAATTTGCAAAATATGTATGTGTTGTAAATCACTAAAATGGTAAAAGTAAATGGTAAATAGGTGCTGTAAAATAATCTTTTACAACAACATTTTATTTCCAATCTGGTTATATCTGTATATTATAAAACGATAGTAATTCATAAAACCGTACAATTTTAACATGTGATATGAAGACACTTGTAAGTCGTTTTCTCGGTAATTTTGTTAAAATAAACTACTAAACAAATTGAATTGAGATTATATGAAAATACATTTTTTTAAATGCATATATCTTGTTACAACAGTAAATTATAATAATTAAAGTAGGTTTCATAATTTAATGCAGCAAACAACGAAAGTTTTGAAAAATATATAAATATAAATAAAATAAAACTCATATCCTTCAAGATGCGAAAAAAAAATTGTATTTTTAAAGTTATACTGACGCATATATTTTCTTATCTTTATCATTATAAATACACTTGTCTTATAATACATTTATACTATACGTGTAATAAATTAGGTAGGCACATTGTACTAACAAAATATTAACATATTGAAATAAATAAAATATAATATAGTGTTGAATAGTTTACTAAATCATAATTTACAAATCAATAAACACAATTTAATAATTTTGATATTATATTAACACAAAAAATAATTATAAATTATATTTCATGTTACGTATCATAAAAAAATATATCTACCTACTTAAACTGAATATATGAAAATTAATTCTTAATTTTTTTTTTAAAAAAAATACTTTCAAATTTAAATTATTTCAATAAAATAGGTTTTAAATAATTCTTTAAATTTTTTATTGTGAAGATGATCAAAAAAAAAAAAAAATGTTAAATTTTCCAAATCAATTTAATATAAATTGTGCAAAGCAAAAGAAACAAAGGTATTTTTTGTAATAATTAGATAAAAGTTTTTTGTATTTGACTGTGTAATCTATTATTTGATGTTTGTTTTAATTGTTTTGATCTAAAAATATACTAAAAAAAACACATTTTTCACGGTATACTCTGACCTGACTTAGTGGATTAGTATTGTTCCAACCCTTATGCAATATAAACTCAATAAAGTTTCATTACATGTACCGTGGCGTTTAAAATGTCTTTGTTATTAATGGTGCAGTAAATTCAAAATTTACACTACAGGAAATTCACAGTCGCGTCAATTTCTGTATAAGAACTTTTGGTAATTTGTTAAACGTGATATACACATTTAGGAAAATCCCTAGATTATGAATAATTAATATTCTCGCCTTTCCGTAGCAGATAAGGGTCCTGGAGAAAACTCTGGGTTACTAGGATAGTTTAGAATAGGGTGGAAGAATTACACGAAAGGTAGAGCGGGTGTGACGATATTGTTCATAATATATAAAATTACTAAAATAATCCTTAAGAATTATGTCCAGGTCGAAGGATTTCAGTTGTTGTTCGATAAGTCTTTGAAAAAGCAAATCATATCATTAAAAACATAAACAATAAACATTTTAAATTTTGAAATTAAAATACGACTTACTACTGAGGTGCGTTTGAATAATAATAACATTTTATTCAAAAGTTTCTTGATAAAAATGTAATGTTTCTATATAATGTTAAGTTTTAATAATATCTGACTTATAAATTTTTGATTGTAAATCTTAAAGTGTAATTAACGAATATACATCCTAAACACTACTAGATTTTTATTATTGTTATGTATATGCATAATCTATAAATTAACCCAACACTTTTTGAGTTGTATTATTTATCACATTCAGTTATAAGCCTAAACCAATAATTAAATACAAACTGTATTTAAATATATGGTAAGTATTTAAAATCAATTATTTTAATATTTTTTATTTGTTTAAGTATTTATTTATGATTAAAATAATTGATTACATTTAAAAACATTTTTTTTCTATGGTCTGGAAAGTCAATAGAATTATTTTCTTGACATTCAGTGAATTTTAAAAGTAATACTATGTATCATTCGTTTTTTTCTTGATGTTCAATTTGTTTTTAATTTACTTAAATAGTATACTAAATTAATAAGTGTATTATTACTAATTACATAGGTACAAAACCGTAAAGTCCAAATGAAATATTATAATTGAATTTGGATATAGTGCGGAGTTGCGTTATGAATTCGCATTGATTTATAAGCGATTAATTACATTATTAAAAAGTTTCAAACTTTATAAAAATCTAAAAGTAATGAGATATTGTTTATAAAATGCAGTTTAATTAGTAAACTATGACAAATCTAGCATTTTTTAAAATTTTTTTTTTATTAAAAATATTATTAAAATCTATACAACATTTCTGTACAGATTACAATGTGAATGTACAATAAGTAATTTTGATATAACGTTTACATAGCGAGACTGACAGAATAAGGGAGGGTACTCAGTAGTGTCACCAGACAGATTAAATTAGGAGATCTCTAGGCATTCAGATTTTATTTACAAACTCATCTTATGTTCATATATGGTATATTAATTTCTTCTTTACCACTAGTAAAATATTATAGGTATTAAAGCCTCATTCTTACAATTAAATAAAGTACACTATATCGAAGATAAACATTATCTATAACCTTCTTAGTATGATTTAAACTAACATTTTTGCATTAATAACATGCTTCCATTTGTATTTCCTATTAATTTTCTTAGATTATATATGTAATAATTATGTTAAATAGTACCGAAAATATCGAAAAATTAATTATATTGATATTTGCAACTTAAGTATTTGGTATACTTTTATACGTATTAATATATTATTTTTCATTGATTGTTATACTTGTATGGGTTGATTATAATAATTATAATAGAATAACTTTTAAGATTAAATATTTTTCCATTATAATATTAGCGATTTGGTTAAAAAAAAAAATATATATATATATATATTTGCTACAACCAAATATTATTTAATGACTATATTCAAATATGTTGAAAAAATAAATAACTTTATTTACATATTTATTTGTATTTCAAGTTTTCTGGTTTTGACATACGTGCTTTTCAGAATTATACTAACCTTTTACTCAAATTATAAAAAATGTTGATTTGTAAACATACAGCGTTTTGACTATCCTAAATTTAACGTTTACCTCATTTCAAATCTTCGATTTACAGGTGGTGACGTCTGGGTATTGTCAATCAAAAATGTAAAGTTTAATGATTCTGGAGTATACGCTTGTGAAGTAAATAGTGATCCGGTAGTTAGATCATTCCACTCACTTTCAGGTTGGTTAGATTTACAAAAATAACTTGTCTATTACACATTGATAATACTGTAAAAAATAAGATTTTAATAAAGTAATATAATAATTGATTCAATAGTGTTGTCGGGTAATCTTGAACCACCACCGCTCGATAATAGTACGGCAGTGTATTACGGCAGTGATGATGAAACCAAACCGATTGACATTAAGAACCACAATTATACAGACTGTTGTGTGGCGAGAAATGTGAGCTCAAGTTGTTTAGGTTTTTGCAACATACAGAGTATACTGGAGGGAACCACTGGACAAGACCCAGAGAATTGTGAACCAGACTTTAAGTCCATTGTGAAATGCATGGCAGGTTAGCACGACGCATTACTTCTCTGTTTTTATTTTGCCTGTTCTTCCACTTTATTCTTTCCCTCGTGCCCAGTCCTTTAAACGATCTTTGTACTATTTTCATTGTATTGTTATTTTATTACAGACGGTAGAAATCATGTCCCTTGTTGTGTGCAAGAAGGTATTCCCGACATATGCCAAGATGTTTGCCAAGGAGAGTACACCCCAATCACGGATAATATAAAAACCATGGTTTCATGTTCTCCGTACACCGAACAGACATTGGCATGCATCGTAGAGGGGATAGGTAAACATTATTGATTAACATAACAGTTTTGGACAGAAAAACGATGATGTATAAAAAAAAAAAAATCAAATCTAAAACTTAACTTTTTTGTAACTGTGTGTTTATACGAAACGCACGATATTCTATAGTTCTAAATGTAAAATATTATATTATAAAAAATGTAACTCTGCATTTTAGAAATTTTACCTAGTCACCCAGAAGATGTGGATGTGGAAGTAAACAGTAGTTCTATGATATTAGTGACGTGGAACAAACCGTCTGCGAACTCAGCATCGGTCAACGAATATATAGTCAATGTAACCATGCTTAAATCGTTTGATGGTCAAACAACAAACCATTCCATACAAGTTAAGGTATAAAACAATATTACTACCATCCACTAAAATTTAAATACTTAACAATTTTTTATTATTAAATTACACGTTTCTCTTCGAAACTGAGATGTTGCTCACGTAACGGTCCATATTTATGTGTTTTCATAATTCAAAACGTGTACTACAGTTGTAATACTCTAGGGTTCGGATGTATATAAAGGGTACGAGGATAAATTATTTTTTGGTTACCCTACTCTTCGTGACTCTCGTCTTCATATACTTTATTTCTGAAAATTGTGGATAACTTCGTAAGTGCCTCAATCCATGCAACTACCTACAGTTAATGGTGAGGGTGCACTGTTTACCTTTTATGACTACTATATCACCCTCACCTATTTCAAATAACACTAGAAATAAGAATAAATAATAATATATTAAATAAATATAATAAGAGTGAAAAGTTCAAATGCATAAACGGTAATATATTCACATAGGCTACGTAGTCCAATGGATCGATATTTTTAAATTATTCTGAACGCACTCAAGGAAAGATGAAGTTAAGGAATTTTATATGAAAACGTCACGAATGCCGAAGTTCCTTGCGTGATATTGACGTGATAAAGTAACTTCTGTTCTAAAATAGAAAATGTTATAATTTTTTGTTTAAAAATAAACGAATAATTAAATTCGTTATACTTTTTAATTTATATTTTTCAATTGATCAATTTTCTGTCATTCTATAAAATACCATGGTTTTTAGATTTTTTTTCAATCGATAAAATATGAATCAATATCATGAAATACCTACATTCTATCCCATTTAATATTATTAATATAAATACTCAGGGGCAGATTTAAGGTACTGTGAACAATGCGGCCGCATAGTGCGGCAAAATTATGTTGAGTATTTATTTTGATTTTATAAAATTAGGTACATAATTTTTAAAATTTTATCTATTACTTCAAAATATTTAAATTGTGGATTTTGTATTCATTTATTTTCAGCAAACTAATATTTATATTTTCCCAGGAACTCGTCTACAACAACAACGATTGTATTTTATTATAGCTTATCTTATCGTTTATGAAATGTCTCGTAATACTATAATAAAAATCTATAAAAAGAAAAAAAAAATTCGCCATGACAAAACTCGAGATGGACAAGTAGAAATATCAGCGAAAGATAATTTTAGAATTAACAAATTCTATGTTATACTTGATAGATTAGCTACTGAATTGAGTAATAGACGAAAAGCATATGAATCATTCTGCATACCGTTTGATTTCTTTACTAAACTTCATAAATTGGATAGCTCTGGAATAATGGTTAAGCAAATGAGTTATGTTGCATTTACAAATCAGACTTAGAATAAAATTAATTTATTAATGAACTACTACATTTTCGTACTCATCAAATTATAAGATTTAATGAAAATAAAATTACACCATTATTACTATTGCTTGCAGCGGCGGAGCTACATATAGATAAAGATGTAATTTCACACGGGCTTCGGCATAAGAGGGGCCTCGAACGATTTAACTTAAAAAAGTTATAAACATTAAAATTTAAAAAATTTAACTAAAAACCTCATAAAAGTTTATTTTTAGTTTTAGCTTTCCATTTATTTTTGTAAGTAAACCATTGCATAATTAGTTATGGAGGTTCAGAATAATAGTAATCTAGCATGATCATTATTAGATCTTAGTATAATATGAAGATAGGTTTTTAAGCATTTATTCGTTTTAAATAAAATATCCTAGAAAAAAAAGAAGTTATAATTATACTAATGCAGAATAATAATTTTATAACATGAATAAATTATCTTAATATTAATAAAATTTAAAATTTAATAAAATAATTTATATCCTACTGACATTTAATTCGGCAGAATCAACTAATCAAATCGAATCTTTTAGAACATTATTTGCTTTTGAGCTCGAAACATTATCCAATGTTTTTGATATAACTAAATTGTTAGTCGTTGAAAATAATAATCTTATGACAAACATCCCGAAATTATTAAAGGCATTTTATTAATTTCTTACTTTACCAGTAACTGTAGTCAATGCTGAGAGATCGTTTTCAAAGCTGAAGTCAATAAAAAACTACCTCAGGAACACAATGTCTCAAACACGTCTAAGTGGTTTGGCCATGATATCTATTGAAAACAAACATGCAAATAAATCAAATATGTCGGCATTGATCAATACTTTTGCATAAAACTAGAGCCAAAAATAAATATTCACAACTTAATTTCAATATTTCCCTATTTATAAACATATTATTAATAATATAGATATATGTATTAAAGAATAAAGATGTTACGTAAAAAAAAAAATTCTTTGTTTTTTTTTTTAAGTTTTGGCTTAGAAATTCGCCACGAAAATTTTTTACACAGGCCTCCAAGAATCTAGTTCTACCACTGATTGTTTGTAATTTATGAACGTAATATAAGGATCTATATCCAAATATTGAAATTGCCCTTCGAATATTTGTATCAACACCAGCTACTAATTGTACTGCCGAACAAGGGCGTACCCAAAGGGGGATATTTTGGGTCCGCCCCCCCTCCCCATTGAAATTTCTCCATACTCAACGATTTAATAGTAAATAGTATAATAAAAGTATATAGTGTATTTTAATTTCCCATTATCAGATAAAATAAAAATTTTGGACTCCCCCCCCCATAAAAAATTCCTGGGTACGCTCCTACAGCCAAACGTTCGTTTTCGGTGTTAAAAAGAATGAAAAATTATTTACGATCATCTATGTCGTAAGAATGATTAAATTGCTTGACCATATTAACTATAGAAAGTGATTTAACGTCATAATTAGCGTATGAAGACATTATTGATGACTTCTCAATAATTAAACCTAGAAAAAAACCTATGTAACTGCAAAAATTAACTATGAATTAAAAATTTAAATATTAAAATTAAATTAAATTTATTAAATTAATTTAAATAATTAATTATTTTTATTATATTAATTAAATTATGTTTTTCTTATAAATATTGTTACTTTAAAAAAATAAATAAAAGATGTTGTATTTGAATCAGAATTTGTTTTAGTTTAAAAATAATTTCATATTAGATATTGAAAAATTAATTTATTTGAGGGTATTTTATTAAATAGGAGATTAAAAGTTTTTTTTGGATAGAGGCGAAAAATTTAATTTGGAATAGGGGCGAAAAATTATTAAATCCGCTCCTGTAAATACTCGTATATTTATTAATTTAAATTGAAATTTAAAAATAGGTTTTCAACGAATAAGTTAAATTAAATTAATAAATTAATAAGCTTTTGAATATTCCCTATATTTATACGTTTTACTTTTTTTAACACCAAAAGGTATAAAAAATAAAATATATTATCATGGTGAAATCTAATTTAATTTTTAAACAGTTATTATGATTGTTAATTATATCACTTATGTTTTAATGTATATACTCAAATACTTTAGCGATTTCATTATTTGTGTTAGTTAATATTTATTATAAAGTTTTTTATTTGAATGAATCATGGTAAGTTTTGATTTTTTTCCAGGCACTTGGAACGGATTCTAAAGTGAAGATTGATCAACTTACTCCTTATACAATGTACGAAGTAACCGTAGTGGCCATCAATAAGCATGGTTCTAGTCTTCCTTCGTCAGCAATACGTTTTCTTACGTTGAATACTGACCAAAAGACATCACGCAGAACAAATATAGATGATTCGAAGCTACCTCCTTTGCCTGATATACGATCTTGTTGCATAAAAAAAGGCGTTACACATTCAGCGTAAGTAAATAATTTAGTGATAATTTTTTATTCAAATATACCTACTATCAATTAACTATGAGATATAATACATTTTTAACATACTATTATTTTTATTATTACATTATTAATTTTTAGTTTGATAATTGAAATTCCAATGGAAGTTATATTATAGTTCGCCAATATTTTAATTAGAATTGTAAATACTTAAAGGTTTGATAATCTTCCGTAGGTGCTTAGATAAATTATGTGATCCATCGCGTTCTGACGAAGCTGAGGTCACAGATTTGATGATATGTGCTCCGTGGGCATCTCAGACATTCAGCTGTCTAACAAATGGTATCGATCATACCCCGTGTTGCCGAGCAAGAGGTTTACCACCATTATGTCAAACCTTATGTGCTGGCAATATGACACAAATCGATTTCAGTTACTTCAAGTAAACTCTAAATAATTTAATGTCAATAAAAACAATATAACTAGATAGGTACGATTTTATATTTATTTCAGATGTTTACGATTTATGGATGACTACAGAAGTTGTCTCTTTCAAGGATACGGTATAGTTCCATCTGCTCCGAGAACTTTCCGTGTTTTTAACGTGGACGTTAACTTTGCTATACTCCATTGGGAACCACCAAAGGATTTGGCTGATACAGTGACACATTATAATGTGTTTTATAGACTGGTGGATGATGAATACGATTCTATAGTTAATGTACACTCTCCGTTTATTTTGGAACATTTGAAGCCTAATACATTATATGAAGTTTTTGTGGAAGCAGTTAATGAACACGGTGCTGGAAAGCCCTCATATAGAATTGTTTTTCCAACTAAAAGCCAGGTATTTATGAGTTTTATTTATATTAGTAATAGTATTAAAATTGATTTTATTCCCAGGCAGACGAAGGATAGTATTATAATACTTTACATACTCGCCGTACTACAATATTTCTTTTACAAAAGATTATAAATCGAATTATGTTTCTTGTTTAAATTAGTTATTAAATAATTATGTTGGTCGAATGTCTCATTATACGCACACTTAATGCGTTGTCGCGAACAAATTATTTTAGAAAATGTTCCCGTTATTTTAAAAAAATAAAAGAACAAATTTTTCATGTAATTTATAAACAATTTTTACACATTTTGTAAATCTAATTTACGAAAAGAAGTATTAACAATTATTTTAAAGTTAATTTATAAAATGTATAAAAAACTGTTAACAAATAAAAATAATATCATCATTATAATTATAATAATAATAATATAATATAATATTATTATAATTTTTGGTTACATTTCTCTTATGTTATATTTAAATAAAAAAACATTGATTTTCTTTGATATAATGCCTTGTAAAAAATGATATTAACGAAATAATATCAATAATATCACCTATACAGTACGTAGTCGTATGTTACATTCTGGATGTATTTTTTTTAAAATTATTTAGAATGTAAAAATAAAATTGATATATTTTTCTAGAAATGTACCGAAGTTGACCTTAAAGTAATTTTCATTAAATTAATTTAACTGATAAAAATAATTTTACCGTCAAAATCAGTTTAAATTACCGATGAATAATGTAGAAAAGAATCATTAATTATTTTATTTTATTTTATTTTGCTTTATAACCAAGACAAACGGATTTTGTTTATAGATGTTTTTGTTAGACTGTTTTTTAAATCTTCTTGTTTCTATTATATTGTCTATCTTATATGACGATAAATGAATATTCTGTTAGAAAAGTCTCACTAATAACTAATAATAATTTTTATAGTTATATTAAATAACGATTATTTTAGTCATATTTATACTAGAAGAAATCATTGAAAATATGAGAAAATTAGATATCAAATTTAAAAATGAGATTTTATACTTGAACGCATGTGTATTTAGTAATTCGTGTAAAACATTAGAATATTTATTGCCGTCTGACTTCATTCTACTGTACTGCGATTGTTTATACGTTAATATAATATATCGTCTTCCCTTAACACGTAATACAACATCCGAATACAATTATAATCAGAAAATGTTACCGAATGCTTAACCGTTATACATAGGTCTATTACTAGGACTCGGATTTATATGTATTGAAAAAACCAATATAAGTTAATATATATGTAATAACAAATCATTTTATATGTGAAAATTAAATGAAAATATGGTACATAAAAAAATTAAAAATCGCTTTATAAATGACAAAAAATGAAAATAAAAAAATCAAGACGCTTGAATTGAAATTATTATGAAATTGAACCTTGATTTTGATAAAAATGAAATACCATACTCGTCCGTGAAGTTGGCCCCCCCCCACTTTGTCCTATCGAATTCAAACCTTTACCAATATTTTGGAACTAATTTGGAACTATTTGGAACCAAGTTTTCAGAATTTGGAACTTCACCCTTTTCCCGTAAAAAAAAGATTTTAGGTTGGAGGGGAATAACTTCTCGCAGCTCCCCTCACTTTGTCCTATCGACTTCAAACCTTCACCAATATTTTGAATCTTATTTGAAATTAATTAGAATCTAGTTTTCCGAAACATCTATAATTAATATAGGCTACAGATTTAAAAACAAATAGTAATAATAAATTAAAATTGTGAGATTTAAAATTAGTTAATGCTTAAAAAAGGAAAATTAGTTATCTAAAAGAAAACAAATCTAAAAATTGCAAAATTGAAATTTCAAAATTATATTTCTTAGTACATACTTAAAATATTATTTTTAGAAATCTGTTTTTCAATTTGGTAAAAAAATTAATTTGCATTACTAGTATCTATAAATGTTATATAATACCATAGAACATTTTAAAATATATCTTTATGATTAGCAGACAATTTTATTTTACCATTGAAATATAATATTTAAACTCCGGACCATATGTGCCCTTTGTATATTGCTATGCTCATAGGAGGGAGATTTCGGAGTATCTAAAATTAACATTTTGAAACTAGGAAGCATAATTTTTGTAGTTGTCAAATTTTGCTATCCATGTAAATATTTACAACATATAAATAACTATTAGCAACTTAAAAAAGTTATATCCTTCACCCAGGCATTATCAATTCAATGAGAACAATTTTATGGTTCTTCGTAGCTTTATATGGCATTAAAATTTAACATTACTATTTTAAACTGCCAATATAATTAGAAATTTACGAAAAGTGTATTTAAACTAACTAAATATCTATGAACGTATAAAAATATAACAGTAAATATACTTTAATATTTTCGAACACAAACTACATTGTATAAGATAAAATTAATATAAATCATATTATTATTGGTTTTCCTTATCTTGTCATATAATTTGATGATTGAGTTTGAAATATTAAATCATCAATTTAAAAATGACTATAATAATTGAGGAAAGACAATAAATAGGAATTTTTGAAATTAAAATAATCAGGGCTGGAAGATAAGATAATATTACATTTTTACTTGTTGATTTCATTGCTAGAATTGCTGAAACGATGGTTAATTTCAATAAAAAATCTAATATTCTTGTAAAATTTTCATGTGTTTATACCAATTGGCAAGTTCCTAATATGGTGGCAATAAAAAGTTATCTAGTACGCAGTATTTTCAAAATTATAAAAATACGTTTGATTTTTCACAAATAACGACTTATGGCTAAACGACAACAACTGGCCCTTTGGGATGCTTTTTAATTAGACAGGATCAAATTTCCACCTTGTCGCCGCCCCCAAATGACGCCACTGATGGTAATTATAACTGATTAGTTTCTATATTGAAATATTTTTTATATCCGAGTAAACATTTAACATATTTAAATGTCATGTACAAATGTAAAATACATTTACTTGATTATCCGAAGCCAAAATCGTTTTATTTAGTGTTTAATATTCAGATTTAGTAAAAATTTTACCAAATTGGAGTCACCTTCTCCAATATGGTAAAATGTTTACTCGGATATATAAATATTTCAATCTAAAAATTAATAGGTTATCTATTATAATCTATTAAATAATCTCTTATTTCGAGAAAATGGTGAAGTTCCAAATTATGAAAACTTGGTTTCAAATAGTTCCAAATTAGTACCAAAATATTGGTGAAGGTTTGAAGTTGATAGGACAAAGTGGGGGGAGCTGCGAGAAGTTATTCCCCTCCAACCTAAAATCTTTTTTTACGGGAAAAGGGTGAAGTTCCAAATTATTAAAAGTTGGTTCCAAATAGTTCCAAATTAGTACCAAAATATTGGTAAAGGTTCGAATTCGATAAGACAAAGGGGGGGGGGGGGGGCCAAATTCACGGACGTACACCATACACATGTTCAAATTTTCAAAGTTAAATTATCTACGTAACATAGATTTGTACTCACTAAAGAAGGGCTCGACTTCAAGAGAGGTAATAGGTACAAATTTTATATTTCCACTATCCATAGGAATGAGCTCATTCTACAATATTACCCCATTCATTCCGCAATGTATATCTCTAATTAATTTTAGACAGTTTGAATCAGTATTTTTGTTTAATACACTGTTCATTTTTTCTTTTACTGTAACTTCCAATGGTTTTTTACTCGTTCTATGCATTTTACTGTTTCTTCTACGAATCCTAAACTTTGATCTAAAATCATTTTTCTTGTCGAACATAATGAAATATCGAAATATCGAACATATAACAATCGTAGATTAAAATCAATAAATGGTATTATTTTGTTTACGTATTTTTCGAAACATTGTCTGTATTGAGTTATTAATAAATCGTAAATGGTCGAAATATGTAATAAAAAATGAAATTATTGAGAAATATGTAAAAATATATGAAATAAAATTTAGTTAATTTCATTGGAAATCTATTGAAACGAATTTATCAATTACCTATTTAAATTAATTAATCAAGTCACGGTAAAAATATGTATTTACATATAAATCCGAGCCCTATTTATTACAACCATATGGTTAATATGTCAATTAATACGTTTGTATTTTCATAGAGTTTTTGTTCTCTATAAACCTGTTTGTGTGACACAAATACAATATTTTCTCTAGACTTGTCGTCCACAATCCAGAGTATAACGTGAGATATGTTCCAGGCCTTAATATATTAGTAGGGTATTGCTCTTCTTACCGATTCTTCGTTAATACTTTGCGTTTGACAATTTAACACAACATTTTATCACAGATTTTTCTTTTTATAAAAGCTTTCAGATTTTTAAAATGAGTTCAGGTTTTTTTTTTTCATAGTTTCCGACGTCCGGAAACCCTCCCTCCTCCCTCCAAATGTACGTGACTCAAAGAAAACTCTCTTAATACCCTCCATTAAACCCTGTCCTGTTATCACGTCACTATATTTTGTAATAATTCTCTCAACGGGCATACGACAGTTACATTCTCTGTCTTCGTGTACAGATCGTTAACGACCGGGAACTGACCACGTCGCCATACAATCTGACCGACTGTTGCGTCAACATCAAACTACGGCAAATGTGCATGCCCCTGTGCTCGTTCGACGCCAACATGACGGACGTCAGAAATTTAGCTCCATTCTGCGGTGCCGAGCTCCACAAGCTCATCAAGTGTGGCGCAGGAGGTCGCAACCATGGAGCCTGTTGCACCCGTCGCGGGGTGCCGGGTATGTGTACGCCATTGTGTTCCGGTGTCGTACCCGACTCTCTGTTGAGCGTGGCGGTCAACTGTGCTTCGTTCATCGGCAACGTCGTTCAATGTTTCGAAGAAGGTATGTTTTTTCTAGTTTCCCCCCCCCCCCCTGAGAAATAGCATTCGTATTTCGTCAACGTTTCTGTCAATCATTCATAACAATTAGGTACAATGTATTACGTTTAAACGCTAAATATTTTAACAAAAAGGAAAAAATAAAGTCGTGCATATAAATCGTAGTACTTTTTGCGAGACATTTATTGAACAATGCCATGTAGTATAATATACATGGACGTGTAAATGATAAACATAATTAAATCGTGTTATTTAATGATTTGATCAATATTATTTTCATTTGTTTCAACAGTCATAAACATATTTTTGTATTCACTCGTACTATGTTAAATATATTTTTTTCTGGGAATGTTAAAAACTAATTGCGAATTAAAAATCCAGTGTATTTTAAAGTGATCAAATAAATAAAGTATTCAACAGTTACCTATCTAACTCTTATATTTAAATATGATAATTTTAAAAGGGCGAGACTTTTAGATCGGGTGAATTAGAGATAGGTATTGCTATATAGGTAATTTAAACTTAAAACCAATGTACTGTTGATTTTGAAAAAATGATGTTCAGTGAAAGAGGTCCACCCGACCTCTATAAATATAAACTGATTCACCCAATCAGTTTATAGATATAAATATGGTTGATATAATTTTTTAATATGGTAGAACTTTTAATGTTCTAGTTTTTGCAAAATGAAAAGCGTCTAAAATTTGAAAAAATTGAAAATTTTAAATGCCTATAAATAGACACAAACTTCACTAAAATAATTTGAAACTATGAAATAAGTAAAATCATTTAATAGAAATACATTGATTTTCATCAAAATTGTCTTTTCTAACGCTTATAAAGCATTTTTGTGATTTTCCAATATTTTTTTTTTAACTCAAAAAAAAAATGTGTTTATTTCCAAGCCTCAAGTAATAAAAATTAGAAATTTAATGAATATTTTAATATATTCTGCAAATTATAGCTGAATTTCGTGATTTTTATAATTATGTAAAAACTTAATATTTTTTAAATATAATTTTATTTTTGTAAAATTTTATTTTAAATAAAAGCTTAATTTTTTCTTTAATTAATGATTGATAAATATGAAAAACTTTGCATTAAATTTTCAATATTTTTTGTTGAACCAAAATTATTTTATTAAAATGTTCGAAAAAAAGCTAAAGAAACATGAAAATAATTTACCCTATTATAGTAAAAATATTACATTTTTATATTTCAATCAGAATCTAAATTTAGTCATATTATATCATTATTCTATATTTGCTTATAAAATTGTATTTAAAATTTATAAAGTATACATTTAATAATAAATAGTATGTCATGAATTTTGTATTTTTAAATTGAGTTTTGAAACCGTAGTTTTTAATGAATAACAAGAGAATCATATGTTATAATAATTATTATTATTTTTTATTTTTATAGAAAATTAAAATGTAAAAAAGTAAATGTGATTATATTATATATTTCATATATATATATGTATGTATGTATATTGATTTCAAAGATAAAATATGTATTTTTATTCTGAATTTTAAAATAACGATGAATCATTTATTTAGAGAATGTTTATATGTAAAGATTGATTTATTGAAGTAGTTTTCATATCGTATCATTTTTGATAAACACTATAAAAATGTACTGCCTAATATTATGAATAACAATAAATTATTAAAAATTAAATTAATAACTACTCGTATATTATTAAAAATAAATTTGAATTAAATTCTAAAGAATTTATTTAAAGAATATTACATTTACTATTTATATTTAAATAATATACAATTAGTAAATAAGTTATGAATGAATAAATAAATACTTTGATGATTGTAAGTACAGAAGCTACGATGCAATAGTACCAATTATTTGTAAATTTTCGTCAATCCAATTATTGTATTTTGACAGACATCAACTTCTTTTGTCTCGAATATGTCTTGTCACATCTTCAAAAATAATGATTGCTTGTTGGCTTAAGATAAATAGTGTTGCTTGGTAGAGTAATTTAGAATACAACTATGCGATATTATTGAATTGTTTACCATTTCAATGCATAGATCCTCATGGAGATTATGATTTATCACAAGTCAAAAAATGGGAGTGGTTTAGCGTAGGATAATAGCTTGAAAAGTCGATATTGATTTGAAATTGGTTGGTTTATGGCAAACCCATAAGGGCATCTTATATTCAAATTGATTTAAATACTAACTTAAAATTAAAGATTATAAGAAATGTATTTTATGGTGGAATTTGGATTTAAAACCATGAAAAGCACAATCTAATATTTAGTCATTTTCTTTTTTATTTCAAGCGGCATTCTCAGATTAATCTTTTGCCTGAACATTTTTCTAAGATTATTGAGCTATATATTCGTATTTTAAGCTGAAAATGAGAGTAAAGAATAAAAGAAATGTATATGGATTTATCGCTTTTTGATTAATTTTCTAATTTCAAAACCACTTTTTAATTAGATTTAAATGATATTAAAAGGCTTGATATGCTTGTCACTATTTGAGAATATAATTGATGTGCCATAAACGTAGATAGCTTACATTATGGTTTTTTGATTTATGGAATTATATTTAGAATATCTAACATGAATTTCCGTGATGAAAATCAAGGAAGAGGTCATTCTCTCGAGGAATTCTTTTTTTAATATGAAAAAGAGAAAAAAAGAGCTTTATGATAAGTTTTAAAAGCACAAGCCTTTTATATTATAATAATTAGTAAGTAGAATTATTATAATAGTAAAATTATAAATTAAATATCTATTTTCTATAATGTGGGCCAATAAGAGAATCATATTTTAGATTAATAATTTTGAATATTACCAGCATTAATCTCAATGATATTTTTAAGCATTTTATTTTTAATTAAATATTTTAAAAACCAATTTGGAGGTCTAATTTTTCTAAAGAATCTGATATTAAGATTTTTAAATTATATTAATTAAATATAGTTAAACACATTTTTTTAATTAAAATACAAAGAAAAATGTTACTTATATAAATAATTTTATTTATATTTTATAGAACAAAATGTGTTTTAAACTTTATTTAAATTTCATAAGTTCATAATTATGTAAATACTTCATAAAAATGAAGTGTATTATTATTTATTTAGAATTTTGAAAACATAATATTTTATAAATATTATATATTTCTGATTCTTAATTTATCAAGATTTTAAATTTTTAAACACCGAAAAAATGTGTTTGAAAAAAATATAAAATAAAAAGTGGATTGTTTCAAAATATGAGTGTTATTATTTTTAAAGTAAAGACAATGTTTCTAATAAATAATTTAAAAAAATAAATTTTACTATAAAATAATGTGTGATATTTTTGTTTAAATTAGTTAAAAATGTTCCTATAAATCGGTTAAGGGGAAATGGAGTTAATATTGCATTTGACTATTTTTAAAATTAAGTATTTACTATAACATCAATATTTTGGTGGTTTTTTGAAGAAAAAGTAAATCATTTTACGTTTAATCAAATATTAATTTAGCTACTCATATTTAAGGAATACTAAAGCATAAAATGATTTAAGTCATTATCTTTTATTGACTAAAACTTAAAACTACATAAAGTTTATTGTTAGTGTTTTAGTTGTGACATAGTGATAGATTAAAGATATTATTCGATCTTGCATTATATAACATAAGTTAATTTAATTATGTTGGTGTTTGTGTTTGAATTTTAAAGTTTCAACATGTAAACAATAATAGTCGTAACCTATAGGATTGATGCTTTCAAACGTTGATCTCATATAAAAATTAAAATATGAACTTATACAATTCTTATTAAATAATAATGTGGACATTCTATAAAATATGTAGTCTTAAATTAAGTTTAGTGCGACTTTAAATAACTCGTTTGTTGTACTATTCCACTATTCCACTTCATTCCATTTTGATCATACTGCAACTCTTTAAGTTCAAGGAAAAAAAATAAGAATTGAATAAATGACTATCTTGAGTAAATTGAACATATATTTGAACTTACATAAGTATTGGTTTAATTGGTTTAATTACAGGTACCGGTAAGATACCAGGTCCTGTGGGTGATATGCGTGCGGTAAAATTGACCAATAACAGTGTTTCATTGGTATGGAATCCGCCAAATGATAAGAGTAACGTAACCACATACGTGGTGCACTATCAAAAAGTCAACAATGCTACTGTGCACGAAAATACTATAAAATTGGATCAGGTATAGTATTTATATATATGAACGTATAAATTAAATTAAAAATATATAAAACTATGTAGGGTTCGTTGACTATGAATTTAATTGTATGTGACATTATATACCAATCATTTTGTATGAATCATAGTTTATTATGTTTTTTATAAGTAAAAGCAGAGTAAAATGTATATTAGATAAGATTAAAGAAGAAAAAAAAGAAACAATTTAAATTTAAATTTAAATGGTACCTTTGAATTTTTTTTATGCTCAGCAAGTTGAAGTGACCGAAAACTCAGTTTTTTTGAAGAAATTGGAGACCGGTAAACTCTATAAAGTCTTTGTTGTTTCTAAAAACACACATGGTACATCTTTACCATCATCTATACTTTTACTAAATATCACTGATACAGGTATGATAAATATATCAATATATTTTATTACCTATATCTATTTATATTTGATAAACCTTTTGGTTTCCGTAGATCTGGATAGCAAGGGTGTTGTAGGCGTTACATCTCCACCACATTCACTGTCCGTCTCGGCACACAGTGCCAACTACGTTACTATCACTTGGCAGCCGCCCGAGTTTAGTCACGTTTCTGAAGAAATAACTTATAAGTAAGATTTTTATATTCCGATTGATGTTTGTTTCAAAATGGGTATTTGAACAATTTGAATTTTTATTTATGCATTTGTCATTAATTATTTGAGAATTTATGAAGTTTTATGGTAATTTGTGAAAAGAGCTTTCTGAAAGCAATAAAACTATCCATTCTTAATGTCCATTGTTATTATGTGGGAAAACGAGGCTTTAAAGAAAGTCGAATTTCCCATTTATGCTATATTTTATCAGGAAACTACCATTTACAAAATACCCTTTTAAATTATCGTCTTTACAAGATATCAAACGTATAGCCTAGATAACAATATCGTGCTATTTGCCAATACTAGCTGTAATTTGATACCTATTCAAAAATTATTCTAACTGTTTAGTATTTATAATAATCAGTTTTTGAAAATTTAGTTCATTAAATATATCAATTATTTTCATTACTAAATATAATCACTCAAACATTTTAAGATGACGCACAATTATTAATTAAATGCATGTTGGTTTATTTGTTCTTTTATCGTTTGAATAAAGTTTTGCTTTAGAACATCGATAAGAAATTTGATTATATTTTTCAAAGTTAATGAAAGAAATTTATACAAAGGGTTTTATTTAATATTTTTAATTTATTTTGAGTTTCTATTATTATATATTATATTTTAAAATAATGTAATTTGTAAATTACGTGAGTGATAAAAATATAGAATTATTATTAAGATTGTCGTTTTACGATTAAGTTATATGTTATTTAAATTGTTTAAATTGCATAAATGTTTGTAAGGAAACAGATGTGATATAAATAACCAAAGGGTGCTAAATTTATCCATTTTGAAAAGAATATAATGTATTTATATTCTATTTTATTTAGGTTGTATTGGAAAACTGTAGCAGATACATCTTTTCACCAAGTGGATGTTCCTGTACCAGTGTATACTATAGACAATCTATCACCTAATTCACAGTATATAGTTTATATAGTTGCTATGTCAAAAAATGGAAAAAGCCTGCCTTCAGAAACTCTGATTGCATGGACCGACCCAGCATATCCAGCATTTGTTGAGGTTCGTAGTATATTCTGGTATGAAAATAAATTAAATACGAAAACATTTATTTGTTGTTTTCCCCTTGAAATTTTACCATCGATTTTAAAACAGTTTATGGTAAACTAAATTCAAATACTTATTTACAATTGATTTTTCAATTTCAATTGCCCTTAAAAAAAAAAGAAATATATAATATGCATTTATTTTAAATCAAATTATTAATTCAAACATTTTTAAATAAACTTAATTATTAACGATCATGAATACTATTATTATTGAAAATATTTATTTGGTTTAGATATTTGCAAAAATAAATCATGATAAATATAAGATTGTAGTCAGACCATTGAATATATTATTAACTTAAATTATTTAATTATTTGAGATGACAATGGTTAACGTGAATGTATAAAAATTTAAAGTGTCTCATTTAAACTATCGATTGCTCAGCTCTATAAACGTTACACTATAAAACTCTATAATAAGCTCTATAAAACTTTATAATCAAATTTTGTTAATTTTGTAACGTATTGTTTCTGAAAATAGCCTCCTACAGTCCATCCAATAAATTTGGTAATGGAAGGTAGCAGTATGACAGTATTGTGTATTGCAATGGGCACCCCATCGCCAACCATATCATTATACATATCCGGAAGATTGGTCAGACAAGAAACATCCAGGCACATGGTGACTGTTATCCACAACGTCACACGAGATATGGATGAAATATCATGCTACGCGGACAATGGTTATGGCACGCCAATGCAATCGTCAAGAAAAATCAGTATAAGCTGTAAGTACATTTATTTTAAATATTTTTATATTCAATAATTTTCTCAATATTTACTGTATTCGAAATAAAAGACTTACCTTCTTCTATAAATGAAAAAAAAAGTCGCTATAAATGCATGACAGATAAGAAAAAAATGTTTAAAATGTTTTTTAATAATAAATAAATATACATAAAATACTATATATTTTTATTTAATCTAATACATTATCGTTTTCAAATATTTTTTTAGTTAATTGATACTTTCTATCATATACTAATTAAACAATTTTTTAAACCAAAATAAATATTGCTTGTTGTTTAGGAAATAGTAAAACATATTAATAACTAAATTTTATTCTCAAATTTCTAAAAAACAATATTCATATTTTTTATTAGTTCGAATATCTTAATAAATAATAAATACGTTTCGATCATAATTTAACGAACACTTAGATTGTTAACATGAAAATTTAAAAGTATTCGTACATTCTGTATACCGATGTTTTAGTTATTAAAACTATGAAAGTACATTAAGTAACATTTTGTATGTTTGCTAAATAAATAACAGCTTATATAAAAGCTTTTATATAATGTACGAAATACCATATGCCCAATTTCCTTAATGAGAGTGTGATAATTAAAAGAGAACATTAATAATTCGTTTTCATGGTGTAATCTGAAAATTGTAGTATTTCCTCTGTATTATTAACACCCATTTATTTGTATTCCTCACATTAAATTTACAAATAAAATTACTAAAATAGGTACATAGTCTTATTTTTTTGTTAGATGTTGACAGTGAAGTTTAAAAATAACGCTTTAAAAAACTTATTCAACAATGATAATTTTGTAATACGAATCTTTAAAAATAATTCTTTGAAGTTTTACTAAATGAAAATATGAATAACATGTATTCTTACGCGTACTTTATTAATTTCTCGACTACGTATTGACGATACATAATATTTCCGAATTCGTTAATTTATATAAACTTTCAGTTTGATATATATATAATTTGTTAAACTTTTCAACGGATGTGTACATATACGTACATGTGAATACGTTTATGTGCATAAATGTGAAACGACAAATAAAGGAAAAGTTTAAGACATGTGTCCTTATAAATTATAATGAATACCAATGTTCTGTACATATTTTACTTCATGTTGTTGATTCAAGAAAAAAAAAATCTAATACTTCAACTTTGTTTATGAGTCATATCATAAATTATATTTAGCGATTTAATTACAAATCTCGAAAACAGTTTTACAATGACAAAACACGTTTGCAAAACACAGTTAAATTACTTATAAAGTTGTTGAAACTCCCATGTAACATAATTCACGATGTTTTTTTGATTTATCAAAGCTTTGGTTTTTACCTGGCGTTTTGAATTACACCACAACATACAGTTTTTTCAATAAAGAAAATGAGAGTACTCCTTTTATTTTCAATTTGTTAGTAGTATTTCTATGTCTCAGATTTAACTCTCTTATCTTCACGCCAAGAAGATGGATGTTCTATCTACAATATATATTATATTAGATATATAGAAGACTAAATAAGAAAGACTATACTAGATCAGAAGTTAACTTGAATAATGGTTAAATAAATGTTTTTGGATAGACGTGTTTTTGTAAAGTAAATTCAACTTAGATTTCATGTTATTATTCTTACCATTAATAATTTTTTTCTATAGTCTTTTAATTTCAATCCTAATTACAGTTAAATTCTATATTTTTTTTTTTAATTTACTCTTATTAGTTATTTATTACGAATTCTTTGGATGACTGAAATTTGTATTAAATCTAGGTAACAATTACCATAGATTTTATCGATAATGGTCGTAATGACAATAAAATCTCTTTATTTAGCCTTTATTTTTAAATATGATAGCATCAAATGTATTAACAGTATAAGAAGTGAGTACTCTACATTATATTGATTGTCCCGGGGCATTGCGAAACACTATTCTGTGATTAAATGTGTATAGAGCAAACGTTTTCAATGTAAAACAATATTATATTGGTGAACCGTAATAGTCTGTTGAAGTGTGAAAATTGATAATCTTCCACAGCGGTAATTTTTTATTTTTATGGAAACGGATGAATGCATAATGGGATGAAACGCGAGAGGTTTAATGTGTCTTTTTAATCTCGAAATAGTTAAAACGTACACAACCGCACACGCAACCCTCGTCCTGTAGTTATTATACATTATTGTGCTATTATACGCGTACAGTGTTTTAGCTGTAGAAAAAGTGCCAACTGTTTGATATTTAACGACGAAAAATTCAATGGTGGTTGTAAATTTTAAAACCAGACATTACTTTAACACAAAACATTTGCGGCGGTAATCGCCGGTAAAACTGAATTGTTCTTTCTATACAATATAATATGTTTGCAAATATTATAACCATGTGAGTTCTACGACATTACATTTTTAAGATCGTTAACCAAGCCGCATACGTTAATACGTATACGTATTACATATCGGTAAACCTTGTACGTGTGTCTCGATCGATTTGATTTTCGTCCAGTAAGCAAACGTCGTTTTGCTTGATGTGACGTAATTTCGTCTGTTGGTCGGAAAAAATTTCGTGGCATCAGAAAATAAACGGTTGGTTTCGTTAAGCCAACAACGTACCTATTTACCTATCTGCCAACCGTTTACTCGTATTCGGGTCGTTTGGCGGTCACAACATTTCGCTACGTAGGTAATATTGTATAATACGAATTAGATATATGTCTATGTGCGTGTATATACATATTTTACGTGATATTATTATTATTATGTAACCCGGTCGCCATTTATCCCAAACGATATATCATTAAATACACCATATCCTCCCTCCGGTCGACTACGCGACGATTCCCTCACCGGTGTGCCACAGGGTTGGTTTTTTACTCGGTTTACCGGCAAATCACCGTTGCCTCTACTGCTGTTGTTTCCGGCTCTCGCGCACGAATCATTGTTTTATGCTGATCACAAACACACACACACACACACACACACACACACACACACATTCAGTCCACCGGAGACACGATTTAAGTAAGCTTCAAGACCACGTGACGTGAAATCGATATCGTTCTTGCATACACTTCTTGCCACTACCCACCACCCTGCACCGTCTGTCAGAGATATCACATCAGAATTCGTCAGGGACGGTTCAACTAAATTCGTGCCATAGTGTACAAAGCGGACGCCGTTGTCGTGTCAAAGGGCCATAATAATTGCTGGCGGAAATACTAAGCGGTGTTCGTTTATGATGTTTACCAAAAAAAGTAAGTCGTACTCAAACATTAGTACGCACCTCCTACTACCTTGACAGTTTCGTGCGCGTCAATACACTTCTATTACTGCGGTTTATTACAAGTATGTTATGACATTAAGCGAAAACAGTATATACGTACAGTAGTTGATCGTCCAGCAAAATAATAATTACATAAATTCGTGCAAAAATAACGTGTTTCTTAATACGTATTTATATATGCTTATATTCATAAAATATAATGATAATACATTTTCGAAATAGCATGAAAAAATTAAGTCGTTGTACCATTGAAATACTCGCTTTAATGTCCGTAAGCACACAGAAATAAAATCAATAAAAGTCGTACACCTATTTTAAAATATTCATACACGAAATTGCTTTTTTTGTGAAATAATGTACTATATTATAACGTGTAATTGAGTTATATACGTGTATAATGTCCATTAAATTATGTTATTAAAATAATATGTATACTCAAATATTAAATACAAACTTTGTATTTGTTTATTTTTTTTTTTTTTTTTTTATCGTTATTACTGTAATTTGTTGACGATAATCGTTTTCGACCGAATGAAGCCGCTACATATTCACGGCAATTACGGCGGCTAAAACCTACTCAATACGTGTGATAATAATAATAACAATAATAATAATTATACAATATTCTCCGTGGACATTTTACGACACCGTTCAGTTGTCACACTGTATGTATGTAAGCAATACGATTCGAGGACAAATATAATCGTAATTGCTATTTGGGATCGAATTTTGCTCGATAACCGGTGTTTCGGCTTTGTAACCGAGAATATTCGATTAAATATTCATGGTACCCCATTGCCGGATTCGATTAGCGATTTTTCGCGAACGAACCGAACGGCGCCCGAAGCGGCGACGTGCCCATAAGAATATAATAATTTCACACATCGGTCTTATTTGCAGACGTGCCCAAATTGGTGGCATCCAAGATCACTATGGCCAATCAGGGCGACACCGTGACGCTGGAGTGCATGGTGGACGCGCACCCCGAGCCAAAAATGATGTTCTGGCGGGACGCGCAGGGCCGGACGCCGGTGATCCAGAGCAGTAAACACGACGTGAACGTAATCCGGTCCAAGGAGGACTACACCAAGTTCGTCATGGAGCTGACCATCAGTAAGTTGACGGAGACGGACGACGGCGATTATTTCTGCCACGCCGAGAACTCGTTCGGCAGCTCCACCAAGCCCGTCTCGGTGCGCATCAGGAACTCCGTAAGTCGTGCACAATACAACTTAGTAATATTTCAATTCGGACGGTTACAATATCGTGCACTGGAATTATTGCACTTGCATCTTTTTCCGTTGATCCTTATATTTTATACACGTACGACCCGTGCATTGACCCAAGTGATCTTGCAATGTGTTTCACTTAAATATTGAATTATAATTCAATCAGTATTTTTAAGTAATTCAGACACGTTTGACAAATTTATTTTTATTTAGTGCAGTTTTAACGGTTTTTTATGATTTTCGTACAGTTTCAAAAATATTCAACTTGATTTTATCGTTAATTATATAGACTACATTAGGTAATTATTTTTTTTATTTTCATATTAATTTTCGAAATGATAAGTGTATTTTTAATATGTTTTCATGCGATAGTGCAATCAATTTAATGAGTTTTTCAATGCAATTACTTCACTTCCATAATTATAATATACTCGGCGGCGATAGGCGGCTGTGTTGCAGACAAATCGTATAGCTATACCATTAAGCTGATGCGAAATGGATCGTATAAACGCGTTCACCGATATGATAATACATTTAATTCCGGTTTATCTTGAACATATAAAATAACTCTTGTTTATTATAACAATTATTTTCTGATACCCGATTATTGGAGGTCGCGAGGCGATGGTACCGTCACACCTCCATCACAAATCCCAGAAGTTGCAAGTGCGCCTTCTCGTACCTTCGAGATTACTCCTCTATATGGGGCAATATATTTTTTTATTATTTTGCGGAAATCCACATCTACACATACACACACGAACATATATATATATATATATATATATATATATATATATATATATATATATATATATATATATGTATTGATGAATTTTCAGGGTTCCGGATACGTGCACACAAATGATAAAATACGACAATAGCTTAGGGTTCAGCCCGAGGGCTTAGGACTGCTTTTTTCAGTTTGGCCCCCGGTACGGTGATGAAGTCTTACTGGTTGGTGGGAGGGGGGGGGTAAATTATGCGATGGGCCCACAACAAACGAACATATTGTATGGATATACGGCAAGCTGGGGCGGTGAGTCACGTTACGGAACATTTGTCACGGTAGGATCAAAGGCCGCTGGGGGATTAAATGTGCACCAGGACTCAGGACGTGTTTATATATATATACAAACTACTCATATATATATATATATGTATGTATGTATATATAGATAAATAGAGTGAGAAAGAGAGAGATTAACGAGAAGTATAAACAAAATGCGGTCGGACAAATCCGTGTTTTGCCTGCCATTACCGAGCAATAATAATAATAATAATAATAATTGGAGTTATTAGCAACGAGAATATTGACTGACGTACGTTCGCTTCTGTGACGTTTTTAAATCTTCAAAATCACCTTAACGGGCCCGTGCTGATGCCTGTAAATAAATATTATATTGCATGTGCGAGAGATCCGGGTCCCGGATGACGAGGGCATTAGCATATTATCCATCAGGTGCAGTACCCGTTCTGTTTGACCTGATACCTTTATATTTACAGTTTAACCCATCACAAATTATTATTAGTATTATTGTCGTTCAAAACACGTATTTTGACCGGCTATATATCATCAGTGTTTCGTTTTACCTATTTCGGAAACTATATATACATAACAGCTTTCCTTCATAAACAAATTTATGTTTTAAACCTTCTTCCTTCAACGTTAGGAATCAATGTTGATCGTTATGCCTACACCGTGACGCATACTAATAATAAGTTTTTTATGACTTCACGTGTGTATGACTGTGTATGCCTTATTGCATAAAAATAAGGTTCGTTATTTCAAATATCACTTGACGATCCAACTGTCTCTATTGGCTCCGTATTGACTTTATACGCCTAACTAGTAATGATACATACCTACATATGATGTTTTTTGTTGAATTCAGGTGACGACTAACAACGTGACGCACTGTTGCGTCCAACAAAATGTAACGGCGGGTTGCTTGGACGCATGTTCATCGTCTTACATGGATATCAACGTGGCCATTGCCAGGACGGATTGCTTCAACGATTTTGATAAACTGATGAAATGCGCATCAGGTATACCTACTGTATGAAATAAACTATAATTTGCAATTTCTATGCATCAAATTATCACTCAGAATAATTTTAATACTTTGTTTAGACTTTTGGAAGAGGGTAACTTGAGAACATTTTGGGGAGCTAAACTATCCTTTCGAACTGTCACCGCTTTGTGTTTTGATTTTGTTATTAATTTTTTATTTTTTTTTTTTTATTGTTTTCGCGTTTCAGATGGATCGGACCACAGAGCTTGTTGTTCTGATCGCGGAGTGCCCAGACGCTGTTTGGAATGGTGCCGCGGCGAACCTGTCAACAACAAGATGTGCGTGTTATCCTATTCAAAGTCTATATTGGCATGCTTTGATGAGCTCAGGGGTATGTTTCAAAATTATTATACGTTAATGATTTCTGCATCATATTATTCTTGTTTTAATGCGCGTACGCGACGATATTTCATGTTTTGAGTAAACTAACGCGTTTAATTAACTAACTAACGCGTATTTGATATACTTGTTTTATAGACAAGCTGCCGGGTCCTCCGATTAACGTGCGCATAGAGAATGTGGACGCCCACACAGTTACAGTCAAATGGGATCCGCCGACCAAGAACCCCCGGACCGTCGAAGTGTACAGGTGTGAAATAATATAACATTAGTGTAATAATATTGTGACCAACGGCCCGGAAAATGGCACTATGTTTTCGTTTGCGGGGAATACTATATTCTACACATCCGCCAAAGACGGTTATATTTGTTATGAGTCTTACATTGGGCAGGGGAGGTTTAGACTTTCTTCTTCACCATAAGTACAAATAACCATCATCAGCAACCCTAGACCCTAGCGTAATTGGTTACTTAAGTTACCCACTCTAAAAAAAAAAATTTAATTTCTATGGCACTGGTTGTAAACATATCTAGTAAGCTGACTTTTTTTGGATGAAAAATGCCACTATAAATACAATCAACCTATCCCGAGATGTATTGTTCTAAGCATGTGTGCGATTCTACAATTTCAGGGTATTTTGGAGACGTGTGGGCAACAATAGCCCGGAAAAGAACGACACCAAAGAAACGTCCTTAAGAATTGGCAGTCTCAAGGATGATTTGACATATGAACTAGTGCTCAAAGCTGGCAACTCAAAGGGCATGAGCACGCTCACTGAGCCTATTAGGTTTACCACTGCCGAAAAGGACGTGACTTCAGCTGCCAGCATGGGTGAGTTTGCATTTTAATCGATAAAAAAAGAAAAGTTCAAAGAATGCATTAAAAAATTATTTCGCATTTATTAAATGTTAATCGTAACGATGAAAATACAGGCCATGGGGCTAAAATAAAAAAAAAACTTTCCCGACGAAAACATTGTTTAGCTGGTTCTTTTTTATCGAGCACTTGTCTGTTTGCAAATAGCAAAACTTTCCATTTTTTCTTATTATTGAGAAAACATCGTAAACTTTCTAATTAGTATATGTTATATGGTTTATTTTTTCCAACATTTCAGAAACATATTTAAAAAAAATAAAATTAGGTATTATATGGGTTATCTTACTCATCGTGAACTCATCATAACTTTTATTTTAGTTTCATAAAGTATATAATTTTAAACTATTTGATTTTTAACTGAGGGTAAATTAATTTTATTAAAATAAATATTCAAGGAGAAAAATAAAAAAATATATTTTATAAAACTCAATTGATATTGACTTTCGGCTTGAACTGAAGAGCAGTTTCTCAAAAAAAAATTATTCAATCTATTATCGTTTTATCAATATGATAAATTATTCTTTTTAAGTACCTATATATAGAGCTCAATGAAAAATGTAATTGTTAGTAAAATATACATATATATATTTTAGGCGAAAGCCGAGCTGATATTGGAACTCTATTTGGAGTATTTGTTGCCATTTTGATCGTTGGTGGTATAGTAGCTGGTGTAGTTTATTACATGCACGCCCATGGTAATTTATTACATAAATCGTCAAGTGGTGTATCATTTGAAAATCCAAGTTACCTCAGGGAAGTCAACATGGAAAATATGGTAATTATTACATATTTCTTTCAGTTATTAATATTATTACTACTTTATATAAAATATATATATAACAAAACATCAATAAATGTTATATTATAATAAATCGCATAAATTCAGTCAATAATAATGGTTATTGATCAATATATTTAAATTATTATTTAGTAAATGTATGGAATTTTCATAATTATACATATATCCCGCCATAACTTATAAACTACACTTCATGCATATTGCCATGAAATTAATATAAAAAAAATTAAATTAGGTATAGGGCAAATATTTAATAATTAAAAGTAATCAACACATGCAAACAAAATATTTAATACGGTATATTATATGGTATTTCTCGACATTAATATTTCCAATGAACTTTCTAATTAGTTTCATATCTAAAATTTACAAAAAAAAAATGAATAGATTTTTATGGGAAATTATATTTCGAAATACAAGATCGTAAAAATAAATAATATAGTGAACTCAAAAATAATTTTAAATACCCATAAATTAAAATAAATATCACCGTTTAAACATTATACACGTACTATATATATGTATGAATTATATTTCATTTTTGATTTTAACAACATTATTTTTCAAACAGTAAGAGTGAAAATAACTAGATAATTTAAAATAATCTATAAAATTTAAGAATTTGGAAAAAAAATAAAAAAATCATTAACAATATTGTAATACAAATAATAAGTATTCTGATAATTTAAAATATCGTTATTTCATTACATTAAAAATATTTAAAACCCATTCAAAAATGAATCGTATTGAATGCGGAACAAATTAGGTTTCCTATTTTATTTTCAACACGAATAATTTAAATGAATATATTTAATATAAGTTTAATGTTTAACAATATTTTGTTGAATATATAATTGATTATTCTGTACTAACCAAACTTCATAAATAATATTATTGTTATTAAATCAAATATTTTATTTCTTAGAACTCATGGTAATTTGTAAGTAATAATCCACATATTACGTAGTAATATTGTATTGTTTTTATAACAAATAAATTAACTTAAATTAGTAACATGTACTCTCTGATGTATAAAATATTAAATAGTTTATTAACGCTATAATGATAAAAAATATAAATAATATTATTACGTAAGCAAACAAATATGACGATATTGGAAAATAATCTTATTTGTATTGTAGAATAATACTGATCTGCCTTACTCGGCATCCGTCAACGGTGTTGGTACCGCCGAATGGAAACAAGACCATTTGCACACAGCCACCGAAGTGCCTCCCACATTATACGAAGAACTTAAACTTGGATCGGATGGAGCTGGGTTTAAAAGATTAAAGCCATAGACACCACAGGTCGGGTAATCTATAAAACCCGTTTTCTCTACTCGAAGAAAAAAAATATATATTTATATGTAAGTCAATGAAATCACATTGATTATTTATAAACGATATATATATATATATATATATATATATATAGCATTTTATTTTAAGCACTAAGGACGCAAATTATATTTTTTAATAACACGAAAAAAATTTAAATACTGCGTATAAATATATACATAGTTTTAGGAAAAAATGGTGGTTAGGGAGAGGCCTATTTGTCATCGGGATAGATAAATATTCATAATTTAGCGTCTTTATAATTCGTTTTGCTTTCGGGCTTCCCACACTTTGCTTTAGATATTTAACGGACCAAAAAAAAAAAAAAAAAAAATGAGCAACCAAAATTCGATGCGTGTTCGATGCTTACGACATAAGGCGTTAAATAGTTTATCGGAAGAAAATTAACTGGTCATTAGATGAATTTCTGTAGGGTATACATATACAATATTTTAAGTTTGCGCGATGTACATGGCATATATGTGTATGCATGCGTAAAAACGTCTTGTTAATAATAATATTATTGTACCATACGTAAATACACGTACCTAAACACCGCTACTATGTATAGTCATAATTAGGTATGATATAATGTAAAATGTTTTTATTTAAGTTTAATATTATTGTTTAAAAAGTTTTTTTTTGTAAATTAAGGAAAAAAAATTGTCTTTAAGACGTATTAACGTTTGTAACCACTGTGATCTCTATTGTAATATCTATATTATATATACGTATATAATATACAGATAAAAATAACAACTCGCACCCGTCGTATTAAAATCGAATAGAATTACGATTACTGAAATTTTAACGAATTTGTGGTTTTTGTACAGTGTATAGAATTACATGCGAAAATATAAAAAGAGTGTTTTGTTTATTTTCTATGGTCATATGTTTTATATACGTTTATACCCTCGAATCATTTCCTATACCTTGGTGAAACAAAACTCTTTCTGTGTGTCTTGCACACACCGGCTATTAAGTAATGAAATGAGAATTTTTGAAAATGGTCGTACAAGCGTATGAAAATATTATACGCTCGATATCCATTTGAAATTATTGCCTCTTATTATGCCGCTAATATCCCGGCGAGGACGATATGTAACTGAAGACAATTTAGCCAGGAATTAAATCGGATACACGTGAGGATAATTAAGTACAATACAGCGATTGCATTAGCATCAAGTCGATGAACTGTTAAAATGAGTAATTGATTACGTAGTTTTCAGAAAAACGATCGGACAAAAATAAAAGACGAATATTACGAATTTACGACCGTATACCGTAGTAAGCGAAGTGTGCGGGAGATAATGTGAGCGGTGGTGGTTGAAGGTTGGGACGGCAAACAATTTGAGTGGAAACGTATTTTATTTTGTAAAGTGATTCTCAAAATAATATCGGCAGCTGTAATTGTACGTTTAAAATATGTACTTGCTGTGCACATACGATTATTAAAATATTGTCGTGCGATGAACATTGGAAGAAAATTAAGAATATATTTTAACTCTTATTGCAAACAATTGCTAATGAGTTTTTTTTCACTGAAAAATCACTAAAATAGTATCAAGAACAACAACCACGGGATCGAAAACATATTTCACGTTTTCGACGTTGACCCGTACGTAAAGTATCGTGTGCAATTCGCCTGTTTTGTATTATGCGTTGATAATTTTACATTGTTATAGGGTGAGGGTGCAGATAAATATTATTTATGGGGGAGGGGGCTGATACATTTAGGTGATAATTGTTTTTATTATTACCTATTTGCTTACTAGCCGGGATTTCGGCAATTAGGGGAGGGGGCGAGAAGGTTTGAACCTCCGGCTCCCCACCACTTACGTCACTGTAATAAGAGTACAATAACGTTAAACGCGCTCCGATAAGATCGCCTGGGCACAAAGCGACTGGAAATTCTCCGCGACAACGGTCGGAATAGTTTTCCTGAATAACACGCGCTCTCATTATTTACACTGCACTGCTGTGTGTTTCACATCGATGGCTAATGGAATAAAGTTTCGGGTAATGAACACCGCCGTTTCGAAAACGATACGGACCGCAATGGCGTACTAATCAAACGGCGCCTTCCGTAAAACGCAACTGCGGTCGCGACGATGTACGTATGTGTGTAGCTCAGCGGTATTGGTCCGATTGTGCGGCGTTTGCCACCGGGAGAGGCGCATGAATTTTAATATTCCGCAGACGGTTTTTGTGACGCGAACGGAAATATCTTAAAACAATTGCAACTTAATTCGTGTGATATTCGAGGGAGGCGTTACGAATGTTTGTTTTCATTTCCGTAGTCGAACGAAAAACGCGTTTGGTAATCGGGTACATCGTAGCGCGTTGCACGTTTCTGACGCATTTACGCGCTTACAAGCGTGGTAACTATTACGCGTGGATAATGCGTGTTCGCAATAAACAATGATACCTACTACGTTTCGCGTAAATTGATTCGCTGCGAAACACGAGTATAAATAATTAAACCGGACCAGAGAATGCGGCACGAACGTTCAGACTGTACAGACGCGAATGGACTGCGAATGGCATGTACGGTTAAACTCGGCGAATCGGAGTTCACAAAACTTTTTCTACTTACGTTTAAATCGGTTTGTGTTGGTGTGTACGATTGTGCTTGTGTACGATTGGAATTAAATTTGAAGACAAAACGACATGTGACAGGAGAAGCTGGGAAGGGGATCGTTATAATAAAATCAAATATTTCGCACAAAAACGTAAAAGTTTATCGTTAGGTTAGACAAGTGCTAAATTACGCCGAACGATTAAAAAAGTGGTCGTATTACAGATTCTTAAACCGGAACCACAGTCTCGTGGCGTAATGATTGCCGCTTTTTATTTTTCAACCCTTCCTTTACTTTTCCGTAACACGAATAAAAATGCGTTTCGCGTCGTTTTAACCGCACGCAAAATAATCTTATAACCCAAAAGCACGAAACTGATGCACGCGTTTTAATGTGTTCCGTGCGAGATACAGGCTAATACTTAGTGGGAAAATACTTAAAAGCATCGAGCAGCCAGCTGCGTGCGCGCGGCGAAACGGAATAAATGAATTTAAATTTGAAATTAAACATCATGTTATTATTATACAGCGCCAAAACCACGTTACGCATTATTTGAGGCCGTTCGACGTGTGCGGTCGCGGAAATGTAGTAGTAGTCGCCTCCAACAATAATACCGAAAACTGTTATACATCGCGTTCATCCGCAACGGTTAAATTACGATTATTATTATTATTATTATAATATTGTCGGTCGGACTGAATTTCGGTTAGGCGAGGAACTGAAACTTTCGTTAGGACCACTAAGGAACATTACGAGTAAACACTGGATACGGTATTTGTCACGTCGACATGCGACCGAAAACACGCATTTACAACGAATGTTGGTGTGCTCGAATAACGAACGAACGTCCACGCACCACATCTAGTGAGACGGAAACAGTTGTTGACTGCAAATCACTCGGAAGTATGCGAAATCGTTGTAAATCTGCTGTAAAAAGTTAAATTTGCGGGTAACGGGTAAATCGAGATTTCGACTTCGTGCAGTCGATGTTCGGGATGAAAAAGAAAAAAAAACTTTTTTAATAACGGTGTTTTGTTTTTCGCGCGCGCTGTACGTTTCAACGTTTCCTTTTCGTCGCGGAAAACGACCATCAGATGGACGTTTCATCGGGACAAAAATAAAATAAAAATATCCTCATCGTTTCCGACCGACTTCGCGCGTTGCTCATACGTCCGAACCGTTCGATTTCCCGCCGCGCATCCCGCTCGAGAACGGCATTGTTTTAACGAAACGTCGCGGTGGTCGTGAGCCAGTGGCGTATTTATGGGGGGGCGAGGGGGCCCGGGTCCCCTCCGAAATGAAAAACACCATTGTTAAAGATTGTTATTCTTAACATGGATATGTCTTAATGCTGGAGGTTTCCGAAAATTTATCGCGACACTGAGAATGTTGCTTATGCGATAATTTAAAATTTTTTATTTATAAAATATGTTTATTCTTTTAAGAAAATATGTGGTGAATTTTGAGTGACTCTAATAAAAAAATTTGTTTATTACAATGTAGTTTTTATACTTTTAAAAAATAATAAATCATTAAAAAAATTGAGTTTCTTATTTTTCTGATGGTGTAAAGACTGTCGAGAAGTCTTATAGTGCTAAAGTAATTTTTTTCGTAATAGTGTGCTTCCTCCTTCCTTTCCACCCAAAAATCAAATACATAATCGGCCCCCTCCGAAATGAAAACCTATATACGCCACTGTCGTGAGCCGTTGCGGATCGCGAACGGGCCCGCCGGCCAGTATTTTTCTCGCGCCGAATCAAACACGAAGGGAGAAAGTAATTACATTTTAAATGGTTCAACCATCCATTACTCCTCCGGTGGCGCGCGCACGTCGCCGCCACCGTGACGGTCGCGTTCGCGTTGTTCGCGTCTACGCGACGGCGGCGGCGGCGGCGAAGATTAATTACACCGGGAATAAACTTTGGGCGCGCATTGTCTACTTCCCGTCGTCGTAAGTGCACGGGCTCCTCGACACGCGCGCGGTGCACGTGTGTGTGCACGCCGACGCACGTACGTGACCGTACACGCGCATCGATACACGAACTCGTCGCGCGACACTTATCGCCCCCGGGTGCATATCAGCATTCTGGGGTCGGTCTCGGCCAGTGGCGTAGCCAAGGGGGGGGGCTAAGGGGGCTATAGCCTCCCCCATGGGCCGTGTTTATATGTATAATGTATCTTGACTATTTAATAGAATCAATGATCGTTTTAATCAAAGGCTTATTGATGTTCTGCCACTCGAAGGACTTATTCCGGCCAATTTAAATATGTATGACGATAAAAATATTATAAAAACTGCTAAAATACATGTCCAAGATCTCCATGATGATACCTCAACTACAATCAGAGCTGACCTGTTCGTATGGAGGCAACAGTGGAGTCAAAATACTATTCCAAAACCGAATTCTGCTCTTGATTCACTCTCTCATCGCACCAATCTTCGACATAACATTAAAATACTTTTACAATTATTCGCCACGTTACCAGTTACCTCTTTCA